AGATAAAAAAATAACCTAATTATAATTATAATATAATAAAAAAATAATTTAAAAATATTATTTTTTATAAAAAAAATAAAAAATAAAAAAATTGACGGGTACGGGTACAGGTACGGATATACCCGATACCCGACGGGGATGGGGATGGGGATGAAAATCCATACCCGACGGGTATGGGGACGGGGATGGGGATGAGTTTTACTTGCGTGGACGGGGACGGGTATCATGAAACCCGTACCCGCCCCGCCCCGTTGCCATCCCTAGTTCTAACGTCTCAAAAACTCCGATATTATAAAAAGGAAAATAAAACAAGATTAAGTTTGTAAACTTAAGCACAAAACTAGTTTTTACAAATCCTTAAAGAAAACAAAACAAAACAAGGTAATGTAAGACTCTAAAAACACTATTCTCAAAAAAATAAATAAATCAAAATAAAGGTTGTCCACTAACTTTGATGTCACACTAATTAGAGAAAAAATCTAAAAAATAAAGTTGAAGTCTCAAGCTTCGTCTCCTTCATGCTTAACTTCATCTATCTGATCAACCCTTGCATGACTTTTAGGCCAAACAAGAAAAACCAGAAAAGCAAGCACAAGAAGAGTGAAAATATATCTAACACATGCATACACATATATAATACATATGGATAGCATACTAACACACCAACCACCACAACTCATATCAATATAAGGAATTCAATTCTCAATATTCATAATACTCCATTCAACACATAAAACTCAAAATCATCCACGTTCACTTTTCAACTACTCATACTCTTAATTTTATATGCATCTGACTCCAATCTCGACATAGCCTTAATTAGGAGCTTAAAGACAAAGGAGTCTACAACACAACACATGATTACCACATAGTTAACACCTATATATACTATTCACTCTTAGTACAAGGAATTAAATAAATTAGGATCCAATAAAGGTATCACAATTGGTTCTAGTTGCCTTCAATCTAAATGTTAGAGGTTTCCCACTATAAGACCCTCAAAGCTAAGGTAGAAGACCATAAAGACCTCCTACAAAGAAACACATCCACTTTTTAAAAAAGTATGCATGTATGCATGGACTCTCAAACACAACCAACAATGTTAATGCACTGTGTTGAGATTGTTGAAGTTATGGTAGTTGTTGAGTTAATTATTGAGTCAAATATTGAAGCCCCTCATAAAGATCTTTATGAAAATTGAGGAAGATATTTTAGTTTTGATGATGTAAGCATTAGATTCGTATAGTTTTGTTTAGTTTGCTTCATTGATTTTTGTATTCAAGGCTTATGTTGAAAAGGATAATGTATTGCTTGTTATTAGACTTAGGTTTGGATGTGTTTGCTTACTATGATGAATTAATTTCAAAATTACATCTTGTTTTAGAAAGCATAAAACTCA